AAATGACTAGAGAGAAAGACAAAGATGCTGTGTGGCTGTGCAGGTATGGGAATAGGAAAGCCAAACCCCACCCAAAGCTTAGTCTGGTGAAGCATGTGAAGGGCAACAAGGATCTGTGGGTGCATCTGAATGGGAATAGGGAGCTGGTCATGAAGGACACATATAAGGCTGCCTTCACCTGGATCTTTACTGGTAAGATCAGCCTTCCAAAACAAAATTCAAATTAAAGATGTGAAACCCAGCTATTACTATATCAACAGTAGATACATATTTCAGAGAACACTGGAGCAGAGACAGTGGTCAACAGGAACTTCTTCCACATACCTCATTTCTGGAGTTTGAGAGGAGGACAATGCACAAGTGACAATTAATTCACAGTTTCTACACACAAAAGCAGTAACTGCTGCTTACTCCACATGAACATCCTTTATTTTTCAACATTTGTTACATACTCTGAAGAGAATGCAAAACAATGTGATTACAACAGGTCAACATACTGATGCCACAGACTAGATCAGCAAAATTGCCACCAGTCTCTTGTGTTTTTGTGACCCTCAGTCAACTGCTCTAGCCAAAACCTGTAGAGACTAGTAACGCACAATTCAACTATTCATCTACTTTTATTGTAACAAGACCAAAAATACCTAATAATTTTCCAATGTGGATGCAAAACCAGGATGACATTTACCCATTCCTGTCATGGGAATGAGTAAGCTACACTAATAGGACAAAAAGACAGGCCTGGCACAATCTGTTAGATGTCTCATTTACAAAACCAACTCTTTAGCCAGTTCTATATGCATTGTACCTATACACCCACATGCAGAGTATTGTCACAGTTACTTTTTAACATGTGGAAAGTACATGTTTGAAGCTCCCAGCCTGCATCACTCAAACTCTGCTCAAAAGCCATTTGGTTTTATTTCCCCTTGAGAATTTTGTCATGGGAGTGGGGAGAATTTTGTTCTGACTTTGACCCACAGTTTGTGCCTTAAGAAGTGTGCTTACGTTTTAAGTCACCATCTTCCCCTCAGCTTTACTTAAAGGAGAGAAGCTTATTTTTTAATCATTATTTTCCGGAATTTATTTTTCAAGAAATCCAAGAGTTTCAAATTGCAAAACAGCCAGGGAAGCAGAGCTCCAAACTGCAGGCATTTTCTGTCAAACTTCAATAGCTGTTAGGGATCCCCCCTTCAATATATGCAGAATAATAGTATTAAATGGGCTACATCGAGTTAGTATATTTATTCTAGTTATACAGCTCTTAGTTCTCACTACAAAAAAACCCACTACAGGTTGTTGGCTATTACAGTAAGACAGTTACTGCCCCAGTTAACAGCCAACTGCCTACAACATATAATTAGATCTTCTCCAGCATATGTGCTATTTTAAGTTACAGGTGATAAGGGACAGATATGCCATGGAATCCTCATGGTATTCCTCCATTTCTGCTCAGATTCTTTAACTCAGTCTTGAAGATACATAATACATTAGGCATAGTAGTGAATGTTCTCAGGTTTGTGTGCTTAACACTGAGTAAGTATTCTCATAATAATTTTTAATGAATTCTCTTCTACATAAGAGCTGAAACAGGAAACTTTCATTGCAACACTGACCTCTGAAAATAATTCAAGGGTTACAGTTCTGTACCTTTTGAAATGTCAACGCAGCAATGACTGCCAGTTAAGAAACTTAAACAACTCTATACAAATGCAGAGAAGCCTCTAGCACTACTTAACAGACACTGTTACTCTGTCAGAACATTCCCAGGTGCTTCATTGGTAAATTTTGGTCTTTACAGGTTTCTTGTCCCTGATTTGGTGAAAATCAACAGGTAAAACAACAGCCTCAAAGGAAGGAAACACAGAATAATTCAAGGAAATTCAGTAATAGAGGCTAAAGGTTAGATAAGAAGCATCAAAATGCATCAGTGATTCTCCCAGTACTGGAAGAGGGGCCTCACATGGCCTTACAGCAACTGTAACAGGTTTCCAACTAAACCACCAATTGGCCTTTTTTTGACATACTCATCAGCATGTTCAAGTGTATCCATAAGTGTACTGACCTTTTGTTTCATTTGGTTTATGACTTTTCTTTGGGTTTGTTTTTTTGGGTTTTTTTTCCTATTCAAGAGAATTAACCATTCAAGAAAATGAAGCACCTAATTTTGAGCTTTAGTATCTACAAGGAACAAAATAAGTATCTTCTCACAGTTGCTATGGAAATAGTAGTTCAAAACTGGACCTCTGTTAGAACAAAATGTAGAAACAACCAAAAAAATAAGCTCTTACTTCTGAGCATCAGTGGCTCAAAGGACACACTGACTAAGGACAAGATTCAGACAACTTTTGGGAGACTAGTCCAAGAACTGTACCTCCATAAAATGGAACAACTAACATCCTAGAAAATGTTACAGTTTTTTTCTGTCCTCAAATAATTACGGCTGGTATCTACTCAGCCTGATTAAACTTGTCAAATGTATCAGTTTGAATTTGATACTCCTTTCAAAAAAAACCACAACAACTCTGCAACACCTACACTTCTCTTCAGACTGTAAGTCTGAGGGACATATTTCTTAAAAAGAAAAGTGATGCAAAGGAAAAAAGAAATAATCTATGTTATCCTTGTTCCTCATGTATATAATACAGCCTGTGCCTCTCAGAACATTAATAGATGGATAAATTTGCCACTGTATTTCTTTCAAGACATTTCATATAAAGTTTGGTTTTTTGCCTTGAAAGACCATTCAAATTCTCCATGGCTGATGATAGCAAAAGTGTGTGAGACTCCATACACACTAATTCCCCTAGGGCAGCCTTTCATAGCTTCAGTGCTCCCCCCTGCATCAGTTTTTGGAGAGGACTGTTATACAATTAAATCCTATCTTCCACATGCAGAAGAGGAGAAGGTGATTAAAGAACAAATAAAGCACTTGTTTAAAGTCACACTGGCCACTAAATAATTCTTCTAATCCAATTATATTGATTAATCAATCTTGAATTTGCATTCCATCCATTAAGAATCAGAACTAGCATGGCATGTATTTTTAAAGATGCAACTGTCAGGTCTCTTCAAAACTAATCTTTTTGTAGATAACAAACAAGACTTTTATCTTCTTTAAATGCAGTCAATAGTTTCATCACTCCAACAAGAACTTGAACTGTCAAGGGCTGCATCAAAGGTGAAAAACTGCAGTCTGGCAAAACTACTGGTCATCTGAGGGAAACAAAGAAAATTAGAATTTACAGCTGTCCTGGATGTGAAAAAGATCTTTAGTTACTGAAAGTCTTGGATAGATCAGATGCATTTTTCAGCAATCAAGTCACTCCTCTTCCCTGTATGACACTTGTTCCACAAAGGGAAGTCTTCACACCATGTGGAGAATCAGCTATTAAATTAAATACAGTCTGCAAATCAAATCAGCCTTTGAAACTCACATAAATTAATGGAATTGTTTTTCATATGCTGTGGAGCTGAACCTATTCAACAGCTCTAATACAAGAAGTCAGACAGAGGTTGTCCTCTACAAACACCAACACTAAGATCTCATGACTTAGAACTAGAACAGTTTGGGAGTTCAATTCAGCATATATTTGTAATGCAAGAAAGTATGCTGCAAAATCGAAATTCTTATTTATCTTGCAAACTTGATTCTGTTCCTCCGAAGTTTAGCCATGAGCTGCCCAGATGAACTGAGCTCACATGTCTTCTAGTAAAACTCTCTCACCTCCAAAATGAAGACTTTAAATGAGCACTCTCTATAATCTGAGTTGGGACAGAATAGTTGCAACAAGGACCACCTGAGTCTATACATACTGATTTAAAAGCAAGGAGAGTATTTTAAAGATGGCCCTGCCTCAAAGCATCTAAGCATATGTGAATGGACATCATGTAGCAGAAAAGTAAAGGGGTATAAATCAGAAAGTAACATTTATAAGAAAGGTTTCTCAAAATGTAGTCTTTCTGACCCTAAGACTGTGCCCAGTAAGAAAAGGTCTCATGTTATGGCTTCAGAAATTCAATGAAACCCATATGCAGAAATAAGCACAGCTCATGCAGAGCCATACAAGCTTTATGCCACTGACAAGCAATATCTAAACCTAGAAATTTGAAAAAGCAACAATTGGATTAAGTTTAAATGCCTCTTTTCCCTTAAAAATGTGAAAGTTTCAAACTCACAATTAGAAGGGACAAACTCTTCATCCTGACTTGGAAATGCAAAAAGTCCGTCACATCCAGAACTCTCAGCCTTTGTTTTCTGTATGAAGAAAGATTGATTCAAAATAATACATGTGTCTTCTAAAATGCAGTATACACCACTATCCATGAAACCTATGAATTATGGTCAAAATACCATATGAAATAATCCAGCTAGTGATTTTCTTCCATCAGTCTGCCCAATACATGCCACAAAACACAGTATCCAAAGAGAAAACAGCTCACCTGAAATTGGCAAGTTTAAACACTTGAGTGAACTAGAAATAAATCAGGGTAACCGTTTAAAGAATCTGACCTGAAAATGTCCAATATCCAGTTTCTCCATCCTGGTACTTAAGCTTTGACCACACTCAAAGTCTTGCAGAGGTAGGTGAGCTGCTGTTAGTGAGACTCCATACACACTAGCTAAAGATTTACTGATGCAGTACCTTGACCAAGAAAAACAAGAAAAGCTTGGCTAAGAGGGATGTAATGCTTATGTGTGGTAGCACATTTTAAATCCTTCAACTGACAAAGAAAAGCAACTACAGCCCAAGATGCACAGAGCAGATTACAGAGGGCAGAAGAACTTTATGGCAGCAACTAAGTGGTTGCCCTGCATTGTTCCGAGACCTACTCTGCAACTACACATGCTTCCCCACATATCAAATGTGGCACTTAGAAGTGTGAAAAGCAACATTTTTTTTGCAGGGTACAGCAGTATATAACAATATTTTTTTGCATGAAAGATTATTCATTATTGTCTCCCTAAGTGCTGCTACTACTACTGTCTACTTAAATGGTATTTCCTTGTTTTCCAACTATTTACTTTTCCTTTCTCCACACCAAAGAGATTACAGAACCTTATGCATCTACATTATATGTAAGGCAGTGTACAATTTTCCAAAGTAGGGATTATCCCAGAATACACAGACAATTTCTAAGCAAATAAAGTAAACCTCTGAATAAAAACAGTGAATCCTAATGTAATTAACATTACTATCAACTCTGCAATACTAACAAACTAAAAAATCCATCATGCTGGAGACAAGTCCTTAAAAATACTCACGCAATTTTCTTACAGGATGCCAAAGCACAGTAGACTATATCGTTCTCTTCATGCCACTTGCACCTACATGAAATGAAGTTCAAGCTTATTTCAGAAGCACCTACATTGTTAATTAACATGAATAGTTGATCTGGTCTTTAAGGGTTGGAATGGACCTACAGATCATCCAGTCCCACCCCCCCTCCTCCCCCCACCATGGGCAGGGACACCTCCTCACTAGATCAGGTTGCACAAGGCCTCATCCAGCCTGGTCTTGAACACCCTCAGGGTCAGTGCAGCCACCACGTCCCTGGGCAACCTGTTCCAATGTCTCACCACCCTTACAGGGAAAAACCTTTTTCTAATATCCAACTTAGACTTCCCCTCCTTCAGTGTGAACCCATTTCCCCGTGTCCTATCATTGCAGTTCCTAACAAAGAGTCCCTCTCCAGCTCCCTTGTAGGACCCTTAAGATATTGAAATGTTGCTAGGAGGTGTCCACACAGTATTCTCTTCTCCAAACTGAACAGCCCCAACTTCCTCAACTTGTCTTCATAGGGGAGGTGCTCCAGTCCCCTTACAATTTTATGGCCCTCCTCTGGATTTGCTCCAATGTCCTTCTTGCGTTAAGGGCACCAGAACCGCATGCTGTATTCTTGGTGGAGTTTCACAAGAACAGTGCAGAGGGGAAGGATTGCCTCTTTCGGCCTGCTGGCCACTCCTTTTGATGCAGCCTAGGATACAATTGGCTTTCTGGGCTGCTAGTGCACACTGCTGGCTCATGGTGATCTTCTCATCCATTGTCACTCTCAAGTCTTTCTCCTCATTGCTGGTCTCAATTACTTCCCCACCCAACCTGCAGGTGTGCTGGGACTGCCATGGCCCAGATGTAGGACCTTGCACTTCATTTTGTTGAATGAACAATTTTGAAGAGTTTTTTGAAGAAACAGGAATAAATACTAAAGATGTTATCTTTTTGTCACAGTGACCATACAGTACCTCTAAATCTCAGAGGACCAGAGTTCAATGGCTCTGCTCTAAGTAGGTTATGCAGGGTTAAAAGGTCTACTTAACAGGCAGCCTGCTTCGTGCTGGGGTGAGGGGCAGGGAGGACAGAGAACCCTAAGAGACAAATGGAATTTAAAAGTAACCACATGAAGTCTCCCATTAATGTGAAATAGCTCTTCATAGAAATAATGTGAAATAAGCATCCCCACTTTCCTCTCCAAATGTGTGTTCTAGAACATATTTTTCCATTCTTTTTAAGGTCTCCCCCTAGTGCAAAGATGCTCTTGGAAATGGAAAACTCCCTGACTATAAAAAGTAAAGTGACACTGATGAACCCACTGGAGCTTAAAATCCATACCCTAAGCAGACTTCCAAGAATAATTTATGGCTTTTAAATCTACTAAATTTTAAGATCAAATTATTGGTTCTTCAAACAGTAGCAGAGGAAATGTTAAAGTCTATTTCTAAATTAACTGCACCATCACCCAATATGCTCCTGCAACATCATGAGCTAGAAACCACATTTTGTACAAACATGGAAGAATCTGAAAGTAGGAAAAGCTTTACTGTGGAAGACATATGGGGGGAAGGCAAAATCCTACAAATAATCCTAGAAAGTAAATAGGATTCCAGATACGTAATCAGAACATTAATTCCAGATGAAACAAAGACAGGATCTAGGCTAACACTTATGCTTGAGAACTTGACTTAGACCAGTAGCAAACACCCCTTGTCCCTCATCTCAGCAGCAAAGCATTTGATGTACAGCAACAGCCAGGTCCCATCTAAATGACACTTCAAAGAGTCTGAATCTTCTCACTTCTATGATACCTAGTCAAATACCACAATATATTTTATACCCATTTTTACCCCTTCCTTTAAATTAGGCCTCAGACTCAGCACTGAGAAACCATCCATCTCTACCCTTCTTCTGGGTATTTAATAGTTTTTTATTATAGTATTTAATAGTATTTAATAGTTCCAGTTGTCCCCATGATGTGACAAGAAGCATTTCTGATTAGAAGGCCCAGCAGCATACAAGCTGCATCTAGGGCACCAAGACATGCCAGGCTAACACACCTCTACACAAAGGACCACTCAACATACCTGGTACTGCTGCAATAATCCCACAGGAAGACATCCAGTATTTTATCCACCCAGGTCCTGGATGGCTTCTTTTGGTATTTCTTCTGGTACAGTTCTATTATCAGGTCTTCTACAGCAAAAATGTCCAGATGGCTCTTAATGCCTACAGTTCAGTGAAAATCCAGGCCAGGAGGACAAGAGTCAGTGAACATTCTGCACAGTTCACTTCTCAGTCAGTCCCTGTTCATTGCCCAGCCTCTTACTGGAGCATCAAAGCTCTTGTAAACTTTAAGAAGTTATTCCACCAGTGGTTTCAATAAAACCTGAATTCACAGCAAAGTGGGTTGTCCTATATTCCCATAATATTTTTCACCTCAGTAATTATGCATTCTATTTGCGAGCCAAGTCTCCTCAGAAGCTGTTACTTTTCCCAAGTATTACCACAGGCTCACCTTCACAATCATCTCATGGCCTCTAGTGGTCCTTTAACTGACTGAGCAACAAACAGTGTATGTTATTCTACAGGTGTGCTCATTAGCTGGTTAGCTGATCACACTGCTGTTTTACTGTCACCCATGGGGAGAAATGAGGAAGAAGCATGCAGAGTAGTTCTAGTTATCAGCACTAGCTTTGATGAAAACTTTGAGACACGATTTTCAGACAAATACAGCTGTCCATGGTTACACAAACCTTACTTCTGGGGGGAGGGAGAGGAAAAGAAAGGACAAAACTGATCCATTTCTCACCTGTTTTGTCAGCCATTCGAGTGAGACACCAGTTAATCCGGAATCTGTCACTAGACTAGAGGAAAGAAAATTTTAGTCACCCCAGAGGAGTACAGTGTATAATTAGAATATTTGCAAGACATCTGACTATGTCTGAAAAAGCCTCCTCTGAAAGAAAATTTGTTTGTAGTTCTGAATGCACACTCTTCCTGAAAACTGTCTTGAAGAGGAACCAAATTTCATGCATGTTTCTTCAGAGTCATATATTTATGGATGCAGCCCAAAATCTTAATCCTTAAAAAGGCAAGGAGGGTCAAGATTAGGCTTGAATGGAATTGAAATATAACATAGCTGTTATGAAGTCTAAACACCTCTGAATCCTAACATTTTTTGCTCCTTGGCAAATGAAACTTGACCAAAATTATGGTATCCTC